AATCCTGCAGGTGCAGCAGGGATGGAGGCCCTCATTGCCCAGCATAGAGGCAGTCAGGCTCCAATGGTGGAACCCTTGGTGGTGTTGGAGAAGTTTATGAAACAGCTTCAAGAATTTGACTTCCAGCGGTTCAATTTTTCTGACGCAGTGGCAACTGACCTTCCTTTGGCGGTCTCGTCATGAGTCATCAGGGGAAAGCTCAGACAGCTCTACTGACTCCTCATCTGAAGAAGAGTCTACGGTACCACAGCCCAAAACGGCCAAATTGGATCTCTCGGCCGACGTGGATGAGGTATTGTGATTGGTCGCTACAAGGCGGTGGTTCATGCCCTGATTCAAGCGCCGGATGGTGCATCATGGAGGCCACAATGGCAAGGTGTGGCTCTCAAACCTGCATGTGGCAGGCAAATGAAAGACTTGGAAGCGGAATTGATTGACAGATTAGATTCCACAATGCAGCTTTGCCAGCATGCTGCGTGCAGAAAGATCTGGCATACCTGCCAGTTTATGAACAAATCGGGATAACTTCCGATGGCGTGAGTGAAAAATATGTTGGCGACGTCAAACTTGACTCCAGGATATCTCCTGGACACCATAGTTGATCATGGGTGCATTATGCTTCTTCACTCATAACATACTCATGTTGATTTTTTATGTTTCCATTGAGCGTTTACACAGCCATGTTTCAGATTTATGGCGTCAGGTTCACAGGTTGAACCATCTGGACATGGGGTGGGTCACCCCTTTTTTCATGCATACCTGCATGAAATGGCATAACTCAATATGCTTTCGCTATATATATATATATAGATAGGTGAGGGATCTAGATTTTATCTCATTTGGCTCATAACAAATGAAAGTCCTTGAAGAACCCTTCGTTTCACAAAACCATCGGCAGTCCATTTTGGACTGATGTGCGGCACGTGCTCCAGAGCCCGTGAAAGATCCCTGGCACAACATCTCAGGCAACAGGGAGCGCCTGAGCCTCAACCCCTGAGAGACGCCATACACCCGTTTGGGAAACCCAATTTTCAGCCGATGGACAAGGCCAAGGTGGATAAGGCAAATGTCATTCATCGACATGCGATTCTTTTGCTGCATGTGTGCTTTCAGCTGGGTTGCATTGTGTCCATCGAGAACCCGGCAAGAAGCTGGCTGTGGGCCCTCTTGGCCCAGTTGGTCAAGCAACACCATGATGCCCAGTTTGTTACATGGTACTTTTCCTTGACCGCAACAATGTTTGACGCCTGCATGCATGGGTCAATGCGAAATAAGAGTACAACTTTTCTGGGCGCCGCAGGCGTGTTTGACTCCCTTGGCATCAGATGCGACGGCTCACACACGCATCAACCATGGTCGGCGTCCAACGGCTCATAGTGGTTGGGTGTTCGACACGGCAGCAGAAGCCGAGTACCCAAGTTTGCTCAGTTGTCGTTTGGCGGCCTGTATTTTACGGCATGTCCCTACGGAACAACTGCATTTGAAGTTTAACACGCTGCGTTTTACGAGCCTTCAAGTACAAGGTCGCCAACACAAGACCATGCCGCAGATGATCTCAGACTTTTCAAACTTTTTCTGGGTTCAAGAGGGGTATAAGCCCAACCACAATGAGAAACTCCTGCCACCTAAGACAGCGGGGGACGAAAACGAGGTGGAGAGCCATGCAGATTCTTTTCATGATGGAGGATTGAAGGATGGTGTTTTCCTGGAGCCAGAGCAACACATCCAACGAGCTTTGACCTTGCAGTACCCAATGGATGCGTCAGCGTCCATTCCTGACATGTTGAAACGAGCTGTTTTCAGGATGTTGACAACGGAACCACACATGCTCGCGAAAGAAAGACTGGAGATGCTGAAGCTCTACAAGTCTCGAGCTGAACAGTTGCAACAAGACGAAAACATGCTCCAAGCAGGCCTTCCTAGACATGTTCAACAAGTGGCTAAGGGCAAGAGGTTGCTTCTTCTGACAAACGCAACTTGGGGGTCATTGTCATAGACCCACTTTCTGGGGCTCGCCTTTGTTTTGCTGGGGCCGTCCCAGAATTCCTACTCACAGCCTGGAAGCACTTGGTTGGGGAGCAGTTGATTTCTTGAAGCCCTGGAGCCGAGAGAAGTAGCCCTCCCGGTGCAACCAGTGCCCATGTTGATTTACGCGGGTGGAGCCTTTGAGGGGACAAACGCAACTTGGGGGGCCATTGTCATAGACCCACTTTCTGGGGCTCGCCTTTGTTCTGCTGGGGCAGTCCCAGAATTCGTACTCACAGCCTGGAAGGACTTGGTTGGGGAGCAGTTGATTTGTCAGATTGAAATTTATGCGGTGCTGTGCGTGCATTGGAAAGTCCGACATCTCCTCCACAAGCGTCGCTTGCTGCTGTTTATCGACAATGAGCCTTGCAGGTTCGTCCTTATAAAGGGCAGGTCGCCCTCAGACCCACTTTTCAGAATGTCACATGCTTGCGCTTGCATAGAGGCGTCCATGCCTTGCTACGTTTGGTATGAGAGAATAGCCTCGCATAGCAACCCAGCCGATCTGCCCTCAAGGTCACGTTCTGGAGAAGCATGTGCAAAGCGGTCCTTAGAGTTTGTGGGTGACATAGCCTTGCCCTCGGAGTTGCTGGCAGCCTTGGTGGACGGAGTGCCTTTTCCAAAAATCACAAAGCCAATGGAGACCTTCACTGGGTCATGGAGCCACGGGGGAAAGAAAGAGGACGACATAGATATATGACATGAAAAGCTGAGGTCTTGAGAAACACGAGACAATCCAGCCAGTGTCAACGCTGAGGTCTCCAACAGACAGTCCAGCAGGATATCAGAAAACACCTCCGTGAGATTTCCCCCGACGCGGTGTCCAAAAAGACTTCAGCCGTTGCTAGATGCCACACTTTATTTTCAGTTGCATGTCCGTTTGAGTTTTTGATTTCTTTCGAAGGCGCGTATCCAACGACGTATACATATGGATTATTTTGGCTAGACGTGGTATGTTCTTAAAAATACCCTTATACGTCTGCTTTGATAGTAGGTTTGGTTTCTCGGAAGTTTAACTTGTAAACAACCTTGAGGGCTCAAAAGACGGATATGTGCGATTCAATCTTGTTCAAGCATTTTAGCACATTCAATTTTCAAGTATGTTCGAAAGAAGTTTAGAAGTCAAACTTCCGACAACATGGACAGATGAAAAGCAGAGGTGGTAAGAGTCAGAGAAGAGAAGAGAACAAGAAAGAAGATCAAAAAGAGGAAGTCTCAGAAGAAAGAGGATCCAGGTGCGCGAAAAGATAGGAACGTCGCGAAGCACTGAATTTTTCCAATGATTTGAGGCTCCGGAGGGTCGAAAAGTAGGCTAAAGCGGCGGGTGCGGAGCCAGCTAGCCGGATGAGATATGAAAAATTGCGCGCAGTTGTGGCGCGAAGCACACTTTGAAGTCAAAATGTACAAAGCACACCAGGTCCAGACCACTTTTCGAAGTTGAGATGTCGAAAAAGTGCACGCCGTTGTGGCGCGAAGCACGTTTGCATGTAAAAAAGCTAAAAACACCTCACAATCGGACCGCTTTTGGAAGTTGCGATGTCGAAAAAGTGCACGCCGTGGCGGCGCGAAGCACATTTCGAAGTCAAAATGTACAAACTACACCACGTTCGGACCACTTTTGGAAGTTCAGAGCTCGTTTCGCGTGGCAGGCGCAAGGGATTGTGCACCTTGTCAAAAGCGAGCAAAGCGTGAGGGTTTTGTAGCATTTCCAAAAAGGATGGCAGGCGTGGGACATTTGAAGAGGACCTGCAAAGATGCATTTTCCGTGGCAGGCGCAGTACAAGAGACATGTTCATCAGAGCTGTTAGGAGGTCCGGACGCTGATTTCCTGAGAGGGTTGCATTTTGGAGCCTCAGGATCTTCAGGTTTGCTAAGATGATTTTGCGTGACAGGTGCAGCACTTCGTATGGCCTGGCATCACTTTTTCGTGGCAGGCCTAGTAGTTTAGACAGATGGACTGGAAAAATCGCAAAACGCATTGGTACGAGGCCGTCAGCTCTGCACTCAACTTTCTATTTTGAAGGAAGTCTCGCAGAATTGCTTTTTTTTTGATGTTGTCAACTTCAAAAAATGAGGAAGTCTCGCAGAATTGCTTCGTTTTTTGATGTTGTCAACTTCAGAAAATGAGGACGTCTCGTAGGATTGCTTCGTTTTTGATGTTGTCAAGTGCAAACATTGAGGAAGTCTCGCAGAATAGCTTCGTTTTCAAGCTTGCAGATAGATAGATAAACAGACGGACAGAGAGATAGATAGATAGATAGATTAGATTACATTAGATTAGATAAGATTAGATTAGATTAGATGGATAGATAGACAGATAGATAGATAGATAGACGGACAGACAGACAGAGAGAGTTTTCAAGCTTGCAGATAGATAGATAGACACAGAGAGAGAGAGATAGATAGATAGATTAGATAAGATTACATTCGATCAGATCAGATCAGATTAGATTAGATTAGATTAGATTAGATAGAGAGATAGATGGGTAGATAGAAAGAAAGATAGATAGACAGATAGATAAGAGACCAATAGAACAGGGCATTGAGCAAAGGATCGTCATTTCTGAATCATTTTTCAATTCTGAGAAGCATAGGGTGATTGAGCAATTGGTCATTACACGGGTGATTGAGCAAATGGATAGATAGATAGATAGATAGCTAGATAGATACATAGATAGGTAGGTAGGTAGGTAGGTAGGTGGATAGTCAGAGAAAGAGAAAGAAAGAGAGAGCAAGAGAGGAGACCTCGACCACCTGCCGGTCGGTCCATCAGTGGCTTCGCTCCGTCATCCGTGACTCACAGCAACCCACCTCTCCTATAGTTTTCCTATTTTTGAAACTTCCGCCACCGCCTTGTGCGGCACTACTGGTAAATGTTAACCATATTGCACATTGCGCCGCCAACCTTTCTTCTGTTAAGGTGAGAAAGCCTGGGAGATCCTTTGAGGGTTTGGATTCGGTTTGGATCCCTGGAGGTCTTACTTCGGGCGAAGAGGAGACCGAAGGCAGTGGAGACGAAGAGATGGAGAGCGATCTTGTGCCACACTGGCAAACCCTGGCATGGTTCAGGCAGAGACAAACATACAAAGCATGGCAAATAAACATGACAAACCTAAGGCCAAAACAAGCGGTTTTATTACTTTTTCCCCACATCTTTGTGTGGGGTTCTTGTTTTTGATTCTGTATCCTGCTCCGCCTCCCGCTCCGCCTCCTCCTCCCTCTCCGCCTCCCGCTACACGCAACTTTGTCACACCACTCTTTGTCACACACCATCTTTCACACACAGCTTTGTCACACACCATCTTTCACACAACTTTGTCACACACTCTTTTTCGCACACAACTTTGTCACACACTCTCTTTTACACACAACTTTGTCACACACTCTCTTTTACACACAACTTTGTCACACCACTCTTTGTCACACACCATCTTTCACACACAACTTTGTCACACACCATCTTTCACACACAACTTTGTCACACACCATCTTTCACACACAACTTTGTCACACACTCTCTTTCACACACAACTTTGTCACACCACTCTTTGTCACACACCATCTTTCACACACAACTTTGTCACGCACCCTCTTTCACACACAGGCGTGGCACTTGGCGACATCTCCTTCGTTTTGCCTGGCAGGCGTGGCGCTTGGCGACATCGACTTTCGTTTCGCGTGGCAGGTGTGGCACTTATGGCACTGGGCTGGCTCTGGTGGCGCGCTTGGGGCCCTTTGGTCGCGCGGTGACGCCGCAGTTTGCGTGGCAGGCGTGGCGCTTGGCGACTGGCTCTGGTGGCGCGCTTGGGGCTGCCAGGTCATACGAAGTGCTGCACTTGTCACACAAAATCATCTTAGCAAACCTGAAGACCTGAGGCTCCAAAACCCAACCCCTCTCAGGAAATCAGCGCCCGGACCTCCTAACAGCTCTGATGAACATGTCTCTTGTACTGCGCCTGCCACGGAAAATGCATCTTTGCAGGTCCTCTTCAAATGTCCCACGCCTGCCATCCTTTTTGGAAATGCCACAAAACCCTCACGCTTTGCTCGCTTTTGACAAGGTGCACAATCCCTTGCGCCTGCCACGCGAAACGAGCTCTGAACTTCCAAAAGTGGTCCGAACGTGGTGTATTTTGCACATTTTGACTTCGAAATGTGCTTCGCGCCACAACGGCGTGCACTTTTTCGACATCGCAACTTCTAAAAGTGGTGCGAACGTAGCGTGTTTTGTACATTTGACTTCGAAACGTGCTTCGCGCCACAACTGCGTGCACTTTTTCGACATCGCAACTTGTAAAAGTGGTCCGAACGTGGCGTGTTTTGTACATTTTGACTTCGAAATGTGCTTCGCGCCACAACGGCGTGCACTTTTTCGACATCTCAACTTCCAAAAGTGGTCCGAACGTGAGGTGATTTTAGCTTTTTCACTTGCAAATGTGCTTCGCGCCACAACGGCGTGCAATTTTTCATCTCTCATCTAGCCAGATGGCTCCGCACCCGCCGCTTTAGCGAGCTTACTTTTCGACCCTCCGGAGCCACAAATCATTGGAAAATCACAGTGTTTCGCGACTTTCCTACCTTGTCGCGCATCTGCACCTTCTTTCTTCTGACTCTTTCTCTTCTCTGCATGGTCTTCTCTCTTCTACTCTTCTCTTCTCTCTGACTCCCTGCTTTTCATCTGTCCATATTGTCGATCATGCTTGACCATGTTTGACAATGTCTTATGGCCAGATAATCTCTGTTTCCCGTGCCTGGGAATGTTGAACGAGTTGTTGGAGCGGAGGGCCCTTGCAGGGAGTGTGTGCCTGCATTCTCTGACGAAGGCTATGGACTCAAAGCTCCATCCTTGGTTCCCATGTCTCTAGAGAATCACAGCAACTACGAATTGTACCTCAAGCCTTCTGGCCTCTGCCAGAATGCGCTCTTTTGTGCATACCAGGGCTGCACTCCTCCCAAGGGTAAAGCTTGCGCAGCCTTGCAAGAGGATCAAATTCGAGAGCTGGTGGCTGCTCCAGAAAAACTCACAGCTCACCTGCACAGGTGCCCGCCAGACAACCTCCCATTCTCTGTGGTGAAAGCGGAAACGGTGGCTGACATCATTGAGGCTGTCGAGTTTGCAAGATATACAGGGAGGTCCATATCTATCAAGGTCTCAGGCCACAACTATGCTGGCTCCAGCCTCTTTTACGGATCGGTGAACATCAACATGGCCAACTACCAGAAGTATTCCAAATCAAATATTATTGAGTGCGGAACCCTGCCGGAGCCCATTCCCACAAGTCTCACGAACCAGAAGGCCGTCTGTGACCTAGCAGCTGCCCGGGGAAAGAAGGCCGTAGTTCGAGTGGGCGGCGGGGAAAACTGGAACGAACTCTATTCAGCTGTTTACTGGTACCAATTTCCAACCCAAACGACCCGCAGATATCTTGTGGTGGGTGGAGCTGCAGGGACCGTTTCAGCTGCTGGGGGTTGGCTGCAGGGCTCAGGCTTGTCTGGCACCATAGGCATGCGCATCTTTGGTTTCGGCGTGGATCAGGTCTTGCAGATCGAGATGGTGTTGTCCAATGGTAAACATGTGAGGTTCATGCCCAGCAGTTGGACAAATGATTCGAATGTGACTGGAAAAATCTACCCACAGACTTTGACCGTCTCTGGGGAATGTAATCAAAATCCAGTGGCTGATGAGACCAAGTGGCACTGGGAACCTTGCGATGATCTTGGACTCCTCGTGACTTTCAAGGATTTGTGGTTTGCAGTCCGGGGAGGCGGCGGAGGTACCTACGGAATTGTGACTTCTGTCTACTATCAACTTCATGAACAGGTGAGCCAACAGCTACCGCAGGACTACTACATTGTTTTCACTCTTCCCGCAGTGCTGTCAAGTTGCACCGAAGAGGCTTGCAATGACTTGGTCAGATCCCTGTGGCTCAACTTTGTCCGGGACTTCTTCCATCCAAAGGAGGAGTTTCCGTGGAAAGATGATAGCAAATTCTGTGGCACTTCCAGCCTCAACTTGGATATCTTTCTAGGGGGCGGAACGATCTACTGCCATGGTGAGACAGCAATTTTCACCTTCGTTGGTGTTTGGCAGAGCTTTGTGGCCGGCTATCAGGAAGCACTTAAAGCTGTCGGTCTCAGCGAAGAAGATGTAGCCAAGCTGCAAGCGGCTGAAGGAGGAATCTTAGCCTTTGCTTTGAATGCCGATTGGTACCCCGCCTTGCTGGTCACTATCCCTTCGTTCCCATGGCCAGCCCACATGAATAAGTATCCTACTGAAATCCCAGATGTTCCAACACCAGCAACCTATCCGGACAACTATCCAGTCGACTGGAATGCCTTGGTGCCAGTCGAATGGCTTTACCTTGACCGTGGCATACCGACCCTTCTGGCTCTAGTGAAGGGGGGGCTGGGGGGTGCTTCAACTTACATCTTGGGAGGACAATTAGCTGTGTCAGATGACGGTCTCACTTCTGTGCCTGAGTTCCAGAGGAAAGCAGGCTTCATGATGTTCCTTACCGGCGGGGAATCTGTTGAGAGTTTTTTGCGTGGAACCTTCGAGGAATACATTGGTGGAAACTCTTCCACAAAAGCTTTCCCCGGCGGCAGCAGTTACAACCACTTCTCAGCCATAGCTTATGGTCCCTTGAAACATGATTGGACCAAGGCGTGTCCAGATTCTTTGAGTGATTTTGAGAAGGCAAAGAAGTGTTTGTCGCTCCAAGAATCGGTATGGGGCACGGAACAGCTGGCAAAGCTCGAAGAGGTGAAGGAAAAGGCAGATCCAGAAGATCTCTTCCAGTGCTTTGATTGCGTGGGCTTCAAGGCTGGACCCGGCTTGATCTTTGATGTTTTTGTAGTGTTTTGTATCCATTTTGGGCATGATTGGCATGATTCCACTCCCAAATAAGTGGTTTTAAGGTGTGCAGCCACCAGCCATTCTCAGGGTATTCACCGGTCTCACCGACCATGGGAGCCGAAACGGGGTTTTTGCTTGCAACCCGGCTACGCTTCGACCTGCTTCAAGTGGCTGGACCATGATCCTGCTGGCGACGTGAATTTCATGAAGAAGGCCAGGAGTGAGCTCTTGGAGGCATTGAAGCATCACTATCATCTTGAACACCTTGTGATGCCAGAGATGGCCAAGGATGCGCCCAGCTACAAGGTGAAGGTTCAAGCAACAAAACTCAAAGTCGCCCTTCCCCAGGTGCTGAGCTCCTAATTCGGATAATTAGTGGATAGGAGAGGCAGTTCAAATTGTACTGTCCTTGCTGACCGTTTTGACTGGGGCAGCAGAGTAACAAGTATTCTGCACACCAGAGTAGTTGGTACCCAGCGCATAGACGGCCGTGGACCGAAATACATATTTTAGCAAAAGGGGGTTGGGTGGGGTGGGGGGGGATATTAACGTTCATGTACCTTGCCTACATACGTGGATGCTACGCTGCTGCTACGTCACTGGGCATGGGTGGGGTGGGGGGGGATATTAACGTTCATGTACCTTGCCTACATACGTGGATGCTACGCTGCTGCTACGTCACTGGGCATGGGTGGGGTGGGGGGGGATATTAACGTTCATGTACCTTGCCTACATACGTGGATGCTACGCTGCTGCTACGTCACTGGGCATGGGTGGGGTGGGGGGGGATATTAACGTTCATGTACCTTGCCTACATACGTGGATGCTACGCTGCTGCTACGTCACTGGGCATGGGTGGGGGGGGGGGATATTAACGTTCATGTACCTTGCCTACATAGGTGGATGCTACGCTGCTGCTACGTCACTGGGCATGGGTGGGGGGGGGGGGATATTAACGTTCATGTACCTTGCCTACATACGTGGATGCTACGCTGCTGCTACGTCACTGGGCATGGGTGGGGTGGGGGGGATATTAACGTTCATGTACCTTGCCTACATACATGGATGCTACGCTGCTGCTACGTCACTGGGCATGGGTGGGGTGGGGGGGATATTAACGTTCATGTACCTTGCCTACATACGTGGATGCTACGCTGCTGCTACGTCACTGGGCATGGGGGGGGTGGGGGGGATATTAACGTTCATGTACCTTGCCTACATACGTGGATGCTACGCTGTTGCTACGTCACTGGGCATGGGTGGGGTGGGGGGGATATTAACGTTCATGTACCTTGCCTACATACGTGGATGCTACGCTGCTGCGAATTTTTGGAACACTTGGAAGACCTCCTGCCGCAGGATTGATGCTGTCAGATGAGGAAAAAAAGAAGCAAATCCTGGCATAGACAAAGTAGTTACGTCATTGCAAAAAAGCATTAAAATTATCGTTTCGCTGAGGCGAAAACGCCATTTTGCTAACTTTCCAATGGAATTCAGCCACAAAAAGTGTATACACCTGAAACTTGTTTATTTTCCCCTTACAAACGCACAGAAAATCAATGCTGGATGATACTCAATCTTCATTTTGAGCCACAGCCGTCTATGCGCCGGGTTACCAGTTGGTCTGTCCTTCATAGGGTCCCTAATGGGGCTTGACGTTTGAAAGGTCGCCCAAAGTCGCAGAGTGTCGCACATGTCCATTTGCGAATGTCCATTCGTTGCTTGGCAACTGGTGCAGCGGATGGTCCAGGTCCATTCGTCAACGAAACACAGGGTCACACCGCCAGGTGAGTCAGCGCTCATTGCATCTTCGAGTTGAGGCGGGGACTTCAGCAGAGTAAAGAAATTTGAATCATAGATGATGATAATAATACATTAATACACAATAACAATAATAAGAATAAAGAAAATAATAATCAAAGGAAGTTGGGAAGCAATACTTCCGTGTTACGGACAAATAGAATTCTGCGACTTGAAATGATGCAGGGTGGTAGATCACATAACAATACATAACATAACAATACATAACAAAAGAATAAGAAGCAGTGGAATTGACTTTGATGAAGGGTGGTGATAATGACGGGTGGTGACGAAGGGAAGTGGTGACGAAGGGAAGTGGTGACGATGGGAAGTGGTGACGAAGGGAAGTGGTGACGAAGGGAAGTGGTGACGATGGGAAGTGGTGACGATGGGAAGTGGTGACGAAGGGAAGTGATGATGAAGGGGAATGGTGAGGAAGGGAGGTGGGGACGATGGGAAGTGGTGAGGAAGGGAAGTGGTGACGAAGGGAAGTGGACGAAGGGAGGTGGTGACGATGGGAAGTGGTGACGATGGGAAGCGGTGAGGAAGGGAAGTGGTGAGTTGGGGAGGAAGCCGGTGCACGAAACCTTGTGTTTTTCCGTGTAAAGTGGCTGCAGGCGACGATGAAAGGTACCTCGTGTGTGCGACGGGTGCGGCTGCGGTCGTTCCGGACGCGATTGGTTCCTTCTATGTGTTTTGCAACAAGTGGTTGTTCCTGTGTGCGTAGTTCTATGCGTTTCCTGAAGCTGTGGTTGCAGATCGCATTGTAATGGCTGCATGAATGTTGCATGGGCTATGTTTTGGGGAGGAAGCCGGAGCACGAAACCGTGTTTTTTCCGTGTAAAGTGGCTGCAGGCGACGATGAAAGGTACCTCGTGTGTGCGACGGGTGCGGCTGCGGTCGTTCCGGACGCGATTGGTTCCTTCTATGTGTTTTGCAACAAGTGGTTGTTCCTGTGGTGTAGTTCTATGCGTTTCCTGAAGCTGTGGTTGCAGATCGCATTGTAATGGCTGCATGAATGTTGCATGGTCTATGTTTTAGGGAGGAAGCCGGAGCACGAAACCTTGTGTTTTTCCGTGTAAAGTGGCTGCAGGCGACGATGAAAGGTACCTCGTGTGTGCGACGGGTGCGGCAGCGGTCGTTCCGGACGCGATTGGTTCCTTCTATGTGTTTTGCAACAAGTGGTTGTTCCTGTGGTGTAGTTCTATCGTTTCCTGAAGCTGTGGTTGCAGATCGCATTGTAATGGCTGCATGAATGTTGCATGGTCTATGTTTTGGGGAGGAAGCCGGAGCACGAAACCTTGTGTTTTTCCGTGTAAAGTGGCTGCAGGCGACGATGAAAGGTACCTCGTGTGTGCGACGGGTGCGGCGGGAGAGGGATCAAAAAAAAAACAAATAAGGATCAAAAAAACAAATAGGGATCAAAAAAAACAAAATCCAGAAAACATGAGAAGACACAAGGAAACTATCACGAAATGAAGGCAAAACCCATGGATCAAAAAAACAAAATCAGGACAGGAAAGAAAGAAAGAAAGAAAGAAAGAAAGAAAGAACGAAAGAACGAAAGAAAGAACGAAAGAAAGAACGAAAGAAAGAAAGAAAGAAAGAAAGAAAGAAAGAAAGGAAAGAAGAAAGAAAGAAAAAAAGAAAGAAAGAAAAAAAGAAAGAAAGAAAAAAAGAAAGAAAGAAAGAAAGAAAGAAAGAAAGAAAGAAAGAAAGGAAAGAAAGGAAAGAAAGAAAGAAAGAAAGAAAAGAAAGAAAAGAAAGAAAAGAAAGAAAAGAAAGAAAGAAAGAAAGAAAGAAAGAAAGAACGAAAGAACGAAAGAACGAAAGAACGAAGGAAGGAAGGAACGAAGGAAAGAAGGAACGAAGGAAAGAAGGAAAGAAGGAAAGAAGGAAAGAAGGAAAGAAGGAAAGAAGGAAAGAAGGAAAGAAGGAAAGAAGGAAAGAAGGAAAGAAGGAAAGAAGGAAAGAAGGAAAGAAGGAAAGAAGGAAAGAAGGAAAGAAGGAAAGAAGGAAAGGAGGAAAGAAGGAAAGAAGGAAAGAAGGAAAGAAGGAAAGAAGGAAAGAAGGAAAGAAGGAAAGAAGGAAAGAAGGAAAGAAGGAAAGAAAGAAAGAAAGAAAGAAAGGAAGGAAGGAAGGAAGGAAGGAAGAAAGAAAGAAAGCAAGAAAGGAAGGAAGGAAGGAAAGAAAGAAAGAAAGAAAGAAAGAAGTAACCTTCTCTTGAAAAATGAAAGGAAAGCTTCCTTCTCTTGACCCCCCCACCCGCTTTTATTTTTTAGCCGGCTCCCCTTGCTACCTACTATTCTTTTTTTTTCACAAGCATCATCGTTGTTTATTTGGATTCATTTTATCTTGATTGATATCCATCGCGACTTGTGCCTATGTACTTCTTTCTTGGTACGCATTGCGGGGGGAGGCGCTGCGCCCTCCCCCCTGCACCCCCACCCGCTTTTTTTTAAATCGGTTCCCCTTGCTACCTACTATTCTTTTTGTTTTTCATAAGCATCACCGGTTATTTGGGTTCATTTTATCTTGATTGATATCCATCGAGATTTGCGCCTATGTACTTCTTTCTTGGTACGCATTGCCGGGGGAGGCGCTGCGCCCTCCCCCCTGCAACCCCCCACCCGCTTTTATTTCTTAATTGACTTCCCTTGCTACCTGCTCTCTTTCATTTTTTTCATAGGTATCGTTTCTTTGGGTTCATCTTCTCTTTCTTAATCTTTATTTATATCCATCGAGACTTGAGCCTGTGTGCTTCTTTCTTGGTACGCATTGCGGGGGGAGGCGCTGCGCCCTCCCCCCTGCACCCCCCCACCCGCTTTTATTTTTTAATCGACTTCCCTTGCTACCTACTCTCTTTCTTTTTTTTCATATGTATCGTTTCTTTGGGTTCATCTTCTCTTTCTTAATCTTTATTTATATCCATCGAGACTTGAGCCTGTGTGCTTCTTTCTTGGTACGCATTGCGGGGGGAGGCGCTGCGCCCTCCTCTCTGCACCCCCCCACCCGCTTTTATTTTTTCATCAGCTTCCCTTGCTACCTACTCTATTTCTTTTTTTTCGCAAGCATCGTTTATTTGGGTTTATTTTTTATATAATCAATATGTTCATTCTTGCTGCTGCTGCTGCTACTACTACTGCTACTGCTACTGCTACTGCTACTAATACTACTACCACTACTACTACTAGTACCATTACTACTCCTACTACTACTACTACTACTGCTACTACTGCTACTACTACTACTACCACCATTACTACTCCTACTACTACTACTACTACCACCACCACCATTACTACTACTACTACTACTACCAGTACTACTACCATTACTACTACTAGTACCATTACTACTACTAGTACCATTACTACTACTACTACTACTATTACTACTGCTACTATGACTACGACTACGACTACGCCTACGACTACTATTACTACTACTACTGCTGCTACTACTACTACTACTACTAGTACTACTAGTACTAGTACTACTACTACTACTACTACTTCTACTACTTCTACTACAACTACATTTTGTGTTTTTTTTGATCCTTATTTGTTTTTTTTGATCCCTTATTTTTTGTTTTTTTTGTTGATCCTTATTTGTTCCCCACCTGCCAGGTGAGGGTTGTTAGATTTTATGTCAGTTGCCTCCTCGTCCTCCTCCTCCTTCTCCTCCTCCTCCTCCT